AAATTGATCAAAAAGAACCAAAGTAGCAATCAAACCACTGAGAAATCACGGTGATGGAAGGAAGAACAAGATGAAGGAAAATCTAACAAACTTCAGAGACAATGAGCGAAAAGCACCTAGCAATGGAAGGGGAAAATCAAAGATGAAGAAAAAAAAAAGCTCATGAAGAATAGATCGACATCAATTGGGGTTAGGGATTATCTCGACGAAGGGAATGGAGTAAGAAATGGAGGAAAATAAAGAACAGAGGCTTGAACACTGAAACTGCATCGTTTTTAGTAATCTTGTCCGTCTAAAAGTTAACAATACCGGCTGCAAACCAGTTTTCTGTTGTCTTAATATAGCAAAGATAAAACTCATCGCCAAATATGAACAATTCAATGTCCAATATTTCATCTATGATTTGGTGGAGAAAATAAGATTACTTGATTGAAATCAATTTGGATTTGTTCTTTAGGTAGGCTTTAATTAATCAAGAAAATTCGGTGCTAGTGATCACCAGATTGAAATCAATTTGAATTTGTTTCTCTTAAAATTTTTTTACTTTTCTTTATTCTTTCCCATCCTCCACATTTCTCTTTGTTAAAGAAAAAAAGAAAAAATATTCCACGTTTCCCTTTGTAAAACACAAAAAAAAAAAAAAAAAGACCCAGAGAAGATATTCTATGGCCATTGTGTTTCCCAGCTCTGATATTATTGGATTGAATGATACATTTGTTTGTACGGACTTCTAATTAGATCCGATTATTACTTGTAGTCTGTAGAAACATTGGGTCCATTTTGTTGAATTGAACCGTCAGTTAATGTAGACCAGAAGCAGCCTGTTTTACTATTCTACTCTAATTTCCATGTATCGTTTCGTATTTTTAGTCTGATACCAATACAACTCCTTTTTATCACATAACAACTCAATCCATGTGCTATTAAAATTGTAAAATATTATCTTTAAAAATACTAATTTTATTTAATTTAATTGATTAATAAAATTTTGCAAATAACTATTAACATTAACTAATAATTTATAAATTAGTTGATACATATTAGTTAATAATTAAAATCAGTTAATAAATTAATACTTTTGGATACTGCAGGAAAAAGTAACATAAGCAACCAAAAAACTGACTGCAGAGCAACAAAAGCAAAACAAAAGCTAGTAAACAGATTCTGATAAAAGCAACAATCCATAATGGTAAAGGTGCTGGAGACTTAAAAAAAAATATTAGATACAAAATGGGCTTGTTGCTTGGGTGCAAAATTTAATAGTTACTGGAAACCTAAATTCTAAAACCATAAATTCCATGAATTCGAAGTTGGGAGAAGGGCAATCAATATAAATATCTTGAAAAACAAAAACTCGCTTGAATTGAATGTATGAATGCAATCACTAGTGAAAGATTAGAACTGGTTTTGACATGTATTAATCTCATTTATTTCTCTAATGGATAGACTTAGACCATAAACAAATGCAGCAACAGACTTGGAACTAACTGTAATCTCTCGGCTAAATAGAGAAGCAAAAATATGATAAAGAATTTCAGTCCAAGCCAAAGCTCCATCTAATACTAAACCGTCAATCATGACAGTGATTAATGATCAGCATCCACTGTAATTAGGCATGTGGTAATTTTTTGATCAGCCTAGGCATATGGTTATATGATAGCTGAATCCTAAATGCAAGCAGAAAATAACAAGATTCAAGAAAAGATTCACAAATCAGAAAAACAAATGACTTACAGATTCAGTATGACCAATCAAAGAATGAACTAAGATACCATCAGTAGCATTCCATACACATATTCTGCAATCTGCATTGTGGTAAGATATTATTTGGTCAAATTTATGCACCTCGAAATCTAATTAAAAAGCATAATGGCAGTAGCACAATGGCAAATATGTTAATAAGCAACATCTAGGATTAAGCACCCAAACACCGCTACCTCTTACTGCAAAGAAGTAATAAAAAGGAAAAAAAAATGCTACTAATTACAATGGTGAGCATTAGAAAACCATTTCTTTTGATCAGATTGTCACTTTGCCATAGTAGAAATGCCAAGAAAAAAATAAACACGATGATAAAGGTCTTAGCAGAGACATAAAAACCAACACAAGAAATGCATGCAAAGGCAAAAGTTGAGCAACATCTGCCGTAAAGTATAGGTCTCTGTTAATCAAAGCAAATGGAACCCAATAATTATAGCCAAGACAGAGGGTGGTGGGGGTTTGGAATAATAAACTTCCGAGAAAGGAAAATTCTTACACTTAACATAAGCAACCTAAGAGAATAAGAAAGGTAAAAGGTTAAGATTAACAAAAATTTACATGAGATTTACGTGATCTGGAATAACAGAAAAACTCTAAATACAATTCCTCCTTAGCCCCTAAGATCACAAGAAACAACAAATTACACTAAAAAGGATCTTAAAACCCCAATTCGTTACACAATCAATACATACACCATAATCTCCTCAAAAAAGAAGCGCAAACTCGAAATTTGAAACTAAAATCGGAATTAGATTGAACAAAAAAATTAAAATATAGCCTCAACTTATCAATACCTTGAAGAAACAACAGGTTTTGGAGGTTCGGTGTGCATTGAGAGTTTGGGGAATCGAAGTGAAAATGAGGATGGCAAAGGGTTGCGTAATAATAAAAGAAAAATAAAGAAAAAATCGAGGAATTGAGTCGGAATTATCGAGGGCGTCGCCGGCCGGAGAAGAGCAATTTAGATTGTCAGGGGAGCACTGCGAATTCTGTACGGGGGTTTGGAGGCAGGGAAGACGGGAATAAAGGAGTGGAGTAGAGGAAGAAAACGTACGA